GTGATTCCCTTCGTGGGAGAACCTAGGGCCAGACAGCATAATCTCAGAGTAAAGAGTCATCCATTTAAGGCAGAGGTGAGGAGGCATTCTCTTGGAGGGGATGCCAAGGCTGGGTTGTTCAATATATTGAAGTCCAAGATAGACAGACTTTTTTAATCAGGAAGTGAATCAATAGAGATGGGAATAAGGCAGGAAAGGAAGGTTGAGAATTATTGGATCAGCTATGATCTCATTGGATCATGGAGCAGACTTGCTGGACAAAATGGCCTACTTCATCTCCTACATCTTAGGACATTATTGCTTAATGAATGCAATATCTGGGTAAGTAATTGTAAACGTGATTTACAAAATGTAGAAAATTAATTTGATGAGAGAATACTCAGTCACTATGAAATGTACAGCTGTGTTGTGTCTCTATTTAACAAAATATGACAAGCAGCTGACATAAACTAGGTCCCAACGTTAATATGAAAGCGGGTTTGTTGTCAATTTTTCAATGTTTATACACTACGAAAAGATTTGAAAACAGTAGTTTTACACATGGAGATCATGAATGTACACAAACCATTCTCTATAAAATTCAGATTGCACAGCATGAGATAACTAAGGATGGATTCTGTTAGACAGAATGTGACGGAGAAAAGTAAAATCTAACAGAAGAGTCATACTAAATTTGCAACATTAACTATTTCTCTCTCTACAATTTCTGCCAGAGATGCTGAATTTTGCCAGCATTCCCTGTGCTTGATTTAAAATTTAACTGTCCTTTACCACATTTTTTTGATTGCATTCTTAATGTTTACAACAAACAATGTATATGTACTGCTCTGCTACATCACTTTAACCTGTAACTAACTTATAGTGATTAGGTAAGCCGATAGGTAAAAATTTTAAATTTTGCAGCTTGCATTTCACAAAGTTGTTTATTTTGCTGTAGGAAGGGACACATGGCATTTTTATAATGAAAGGGTATGATTAACCAGTCTACTATTAATTCAAACCAACTGGTGCTCATATCAGTGTAACCGCAAACGTTGTTCAGGATAAAGTTCTAGGCTCAAACATTTTCAGCTGCTTCACAAATTACCTTCCCTCTCACATAATATCAGGAACTTTCCTCCGAATTGCATAATTTACAATATCATTCATGACTTCTCAGATAACAAAGCAGTCAACAGCCATAATGTACTCCATCCGGTCCTGGCCTGATTGGTGGCAAGCAACATTAACATCACAAGTGCCAGACCATGACCATTCTTCCAATAAGTCAGAATCAAACCAACGCCCCCAACCACTTCAGAAAGTCAATGGTATTACCATTGACCTGAAACTGAACAAGACCAGCCATACTGGAGTTACAAGAGCTAGTCACAGGCTGGGAATTCTGCAAGTGTAACTCACATTCTGACACCTCGGTGTCATATATGGGTGCATTTTGCGATACAAGAGATTTGTATATATTTCATCATTAATTTTAGAGTTTGGATTTGAATGAATATCACATAGAATAGATTCTGTCTTTGAATGGGTTGAATAATTAGCTAGCAGGTTTTTCTGTAGCCATGGAAATTTTTTTGAAAAAGAGGAAAGTGAGTGTGATACCTGCACAATTGAATTTTGTTTTCATTGAGAAAGTCTTTACAAGCAAATGAAGTAAAGTGCATTAGCTTTCAGTTTAGAAGGTCAGAGGCTGTATTTTTATTTCGATTAGGGGAAACGTTCATACCTTGGGGAAAAAAGTTATTGGGTTTCAGTTTAGCAGGCTTGAAGTCTTAGCTGAAGCTGGATATGTAAAACAACTCCTCCAGAGAAGGGGAGAGGAGATAATTTAGAACTGTTAACAAACAGGTTACCTCAGCTTAATTTTAAAGTTCCAGATCAGAAGTGTTTGGTTAAAACCCGAAAAGGCTATTTGAAGCTGAGAAAGTCTAAGCTTCATTGCAGAAAGCTGCAAGGAAGGGCTATTCACATTTTTAATTGAAGCGACAGATATGGCAAACTATATAGAATAGAGAAAGGAATTCTCTTTGGTCTTTGTGTATTATAGTTCGATGCTGTTGAGATGAATGGAATTGTATTTTTCCATGTGTTTCAAAATTTTTAAAATTGCTTTATATGAAAATGGTTCGGTTTATTTTCATTTCCTCATCCTTTCTTTCGTGAAACATACTTCTACTTTATTGTTAAAACCAAACCTGGTGTTGACGGACCAGCTTGTCAAAACCAAATAAAAATCAAAATATGATCCATCAAAACAGGTTTCAGTCTGGGATCTGACCTGCTCAGTACGGACATCAGCTGGGATCATTACAAGTGCCAAAAACACTCAAGTGTTCGACACCATCCGAAACAAAGCAGTCTGTTTGATCAGTCCCCCAGCTATCACACATTCTCTGCCTTCATCGCAGATGCACGGTGGCAGTAGTTTTTACTTCCTATAAAGGTGCACCACATTGACTCACCAACTTCCACAGCACTTTTCAAATCCATTACTTCCGAGATGGTAGACAGAAAAAGGCAGATATATGTGAACACCACCACCTGCATGTTTCCCACCAAGCCACTCACCATGCCGACTTGGAACTCTTATCACTATTTCTTCAATGATACCAGGCCAAAATCCTGGAACTCACTTCCAACTGCATTGTGGGCATACATATACCAAATGGACTGCAAAGTTTAAGGCAGCAGTCCACTGCCATCTTCTCATGGACAATTAGAGATAGACAGCAAATGCTGGCCCAGCTAGTAACATCCGCATCCCATGGCTGGAAAAGTAAATTTTTAAAAAGTCCCCAGGAGTCGTGGAATGCATGGGTGGTGACTCTTAAAATAATAATTTTCTCTAATAGAAATAAGTTTTAGCCATTATCTGATTGGTATCCATCTATATACAGGGACTCTAATAGGTAACACCACCCTCATTTGACTGGTTATCTAAATCACTTCGTATGATAAACAATAAAGACCAAATACTTATCGCCGACGGGCTGACTATGCTAATTTTATGCTATTTTTAAAAAGCTTACTTGCGAAAAAAATCCAAAAATTATGGATCAACTTTTAGAAGATCAATTTTCACACAACTATAAACATGACGAAAATTGGGCCAATGGTTAGTACACGAGCGGATAAAAGAATTTAGTCCTATACCTCTGAAGACACAACCTAAGAGTCAGAGTTATACAGCACGAAAACAGTCTCTTCATTCCAACTCGTCCACGCCCGACCAGATATTCTAACTGGTCTGGTCCCATCAGCATTTGGCCCATACTCCTCTAAACCCTTCCTATTCACGTACCCATCTGATACCTTTTATATGTTGTAATTATACCTGCGTCCACCATTTCTTCTGGCAGTTTGTTCCAGGCACACTACACTCTGCATGAAAACATTGCCCCTCAGGTCCCTTTTAAATCGTTCCCCTCTCACCTTAGACCTATGCCCTCAAATTTTGGACTCCACTACCCTGGGGAAAAGACCTTAGCTATTCACCTCATGATTTTGTAAACTTCTAAGGTCACCCCCTCAGCCACCAAGGCTCCAGGGAAAAAAGCCCGAAGTTATCCAGCCTCTCCTTATAGCTCAAACCCTCACACCCTGGTAACATTCTTGTAAATCTTTTCTGAACCCTTTCAAGTTTCACAACATCTTTCCTATAGCAGGGAGACTAGAACTGTTGCAGTATTCCAAAAGTAGCCTAATCAATGTCCTGTACAGCCGCCACATCCCAACTCCTATACTAAATGAACTGACCAATGAAGGCAAGCATGCCAAATACCTTCTTCACCACCTTGTCTATATGCAACTCCACTTTCAAGGAACTTCGTGCCCACATCCCCTTAGTTAGGGCAGTGTTGCTGAATAATCATTAAGTGTGCAAGTCCTGCCCTGATTTGCCTTATCAAAATGCAACATCTCACATTTACCCAAATTAAACTCCACCTGCCACTCCTCAGTCCCGTTGTACTGAGATAATCTTCTTTAGTGACAATTGCATGGCAGACAGGAGATGCACAATGTGCCAAAGTTGGAGGAATACAGCACATGAAAAAAGTGATAGGACTAGACAAGGTTACACAGTTAGGCCAATTTTAAACATTAAGATGAGAATTTTAAACCAGGTCAGCAAGAACTGAGATAAATCATAGGAGATGGTTATAGTTAGGAATTGGGCAGCAGAAGTCGAATGATCTCAAGGAGATTGTATGTTAGAAGATCAGCTGGAGTGTGTTGGAATAAAGAATGGAAGTAGGAAAAGAATGAGTGTTTCAGCAACAAGGAGACGGGTGATGTTGCAGAACTGGAAGCAGAAGGTCTGTGTGATGGAAAGTAGTTGTGCTAGAGCTTAATTCAGGCTAAAACAAGATGCAGAGTTTGCAACCAGTTTGTTCAGCCTAGTACAAGACTAAGGGATAGTGGAAATAGGAGTGAGGGAATGTAGTTTACGATAGCCAAGAAAGAAATTAACTGTAGTTTTACTAGTATTTAATTATAGGAAATACTTGCTCTTCCATCATCTGACAGTCTGATGTAGAGAGTGGAAGGTTTGAAAGTTGGTAGTGAAGCAGAGTTGGATGTGGTCAACCTACATCAAGAACAAATGTTATGTCTTTGAGAAGAAGGTGGATGTTAAGGTTGGAGGCCTTGTGAGGCAACTGTGCAACTCTTGAATGTTTTATTCAGCTTTACAACAATACAGAGACAGCAAGGAAGAGACAATCGGTGAATAGAAAAATAAACATTTGGAACATTGATGTTTCTGATTTGCCTGGTGTTCACCTTTGGCAATAATGATTGGTGAAGCAGAAATAACTCTACTAGAGAAAAGGCATTTGCACAAAAAAAAAAACAGGAGATTACTTCCAGTTCTCTCTCATGTAATATATACAAGTTCAAGAGCTTCTGAGATTTTCTTTCTTTCTGAGCCCATGCTTGTTTGGATAAATTGCATACTGAAACCATTTGTGTTGCTGGTTTTTCTTGGCTTAACGACCTACCCGCAACTGAGAGACTGCAGCCTTTCCCTCTTCACTCTCTTCATCTAACTCATCATCGCTCCATTCCCAGCCGCCATCTTCTGTTTTGTGTAGTCGACCACTAGAACCTGGAACCCTCCTCACCTGATCAGCATAAACAAAAAGGCAACAGTTAAGATCGCACCTTCTTAAAGATGTGATACATCTTGGATTATTTCACTTTTACTGGCAAGAGGTTTAAACTTCATTCCAAAATTGTACACAAAGTACACACGAACAATTTGTATGAAGGAGTGAATCATGCCATCGTACAGATGTTGATAATAAACTTCAGAATTGCCAAACAGGTTTTCTCACTGGAGCTACAGGCACAGCAGTTACATGGATCTGAAACAGAAGATGGAGATCAAAGCTGGGAACCAAATATGTAGGTATTTGACTTTTCAAGAAGTTGATAGGGTAGCTTTGTTAGCAGAAAATGGAATATGCATGATAGTAAGAAATGATATTGATTAGATGATACAGATTACATATTGGTGGAGGCAAGAAATAACAAGACAACACTGGTGAGAATAGACTATAGCCCCTTATCAGTAACCATACTGTAGGGTAGAAAATAGATCATGACATAACGAGAATACGCAAAACAAAAGTAGTTCATTAAATCACAGCAGATTTCAAATTTCAAGTAAATTGAGAATATCAAGTTGACAGTGATAACCATGATGAAGAATTTATAGAATGTTCTAGGAAATTATCCTGTATACGACATGTTGCAGGCCGAACCAGAGATCAGGCTATTTTGGATCTGGCGATGTGTAAAGAGGCAGGTTTTACAAATATGTCAGACTAAAAGACCCCCTAGAAAATACAGTGGCCAAATACGGTAGAATTTGGCATTCAGTTTGAGGGGAAGAAACTTGGGGCAGAAGCACCTGTACTAACCTTATATAAGACTAATAAATAGGGTTCAGTGCAGATTGACTACGGTGGATTAAGAAACGTGTTTAGCAGAAAAGGTGCTTGATGAACAATACTAGATCTTTATGAAAGGAATGGAGTATAAAAATAGGAGGTCTTGCAAAAGCATAAAATACACCGGTCAGACTTACATGCAGAATGTGAGAATGGTTTTTGTTCCCTCAAAAGGTGATAGACTGGCATTGGGGACAGTCAGAGAAATTTCAATAGGTCAATTCTGAGTCTGCAGGGATTTTCTTATGAGGAGACGTTCGTTAAGTTTGGTGCAGGCTCATAGGAATTTAGACAAGCAAGGGAACATTGTTTCGAATCACAAGATTCTTAAGGGGCTTGACAGGGGTAAATGCGGAAGGGTTGTTTCCCTTTGTGGGAGAATCTAGCACTAGGAAGTATAAATCTCAGAGTAAAGGGTCAGCCATTTAAGATAGAGTTGAGGAGGAATTTCTTCTCAAAAAGGTAGTCACTCTGTGGAATTCTTTACCACAGAAGACTGTAGAGGCTAAGTCTTTAAGTACACTGCAAGCTTAGATAGACAGATTTTTAATCAGTTATGCAGTTAATTGTTATAGCAATAAGGCAAGAAAGTGGAGTTGAAGACCATCAGAGCAGCCATCTCATTGATGAGTGGAGTAGGCTTGATGTTTAAAGTTTAAACAAACTGACTACCCATTTTGTGTGACCAGTTTGTCCTCAAAGTTTAATTTTTCTGCGTACTGTTTCTTGGTCACCTTTTGTTGGTCATTGAAATTTCCCAATCTGTTGGTTTATCACTAATTGTTTTACTTTCAATTTGATACTATTCCTGGGTTAATTATGGCCATTTTATCCCTTTCCTAGAGTCCTTGTTGCTCACGGATATATTTTTGCTGTGGTTCATGAACAATTTTCTTCAACATGTGCATTTGATACTCAACCTTTTTTTTCTGCTAAATTTCTCTCCCAATCAACTTTGCAGTCAACTTTGCTCATATCTGTGTAATTAATCCTATTTCAAGTTTAGCACCGTTGCTTCCAACTCAAGTTATCGCCTTTGAAACCAAATGTTAAATTCTACCATGTTATGATCACTGTTCCCGAAAAGATCTTTTACTGAGATTATTTCATTAAACCTACTTCATTATATATCATCAGATCTAAAACAGCCTGATCCCTAGTTGGTTCCACAACATGTTGTTCCAGGCATCTGTCCCCATACACTATGAATTCTTCCTCATGGCTACCTTTGCCAATTTGATTTTCTGAAACTATACAAAGATTAAGTACCCAGGAATAATATGCTGTCATTATCTCTATTTATTCTCTGCATTGTGGAACAGCTTTCAAATGCAATGTGTATTAAATACAGAGCTATGTATCCCATTTGATCCTAATTGCTGCTGCTTCAGCTTGTAGGCTGTTGCTTCGTAACCCACTCTGGGCACATTTATCAAATTAGTTGCCCTGCAATGCCAAATTCTTTTGCTTTGTAAATCTACACATCCTCAATCCCAAATCCTCTGCCCCTCTAATCAAAGCAGGTCTCAATCTCCCAACATAAAAATGCCTGATTAAAGTCTAATCTTACTTTCTATTCAACTCATTTCCTTTGGGTTAATACTACTTCAAACTTCACAATCTCTTATTTCACCTATTAATTGCATGTGGTACCTTTTCAAATACTCTTTGGAAACTGCCCTCTACACTATTGGTTCCCTTTTGAGCTACCATGCTAGACATCTTGTCAAAGCTTTTCATCTTGTGCTCAATGACAACTTGTAAGAAATATCTATTAAAAGGAAAACATTTTTAGTACATGAGAGGAAGTGCGTTGATCTGTTTGCAGTTGGATACATTGCCATGGAGAATGCACCAGTTAGACTGCCAAACTGCCAAGCTTTGTTTAAACTTTAAACCAGAAATGTTGACTGTTTCATTTCTCAGAGCAGTGCCTTGACCAGAGGATAGCTGTCATCTGTTTTGTTGATTCAGTTGTAGTTGATATGTAGCTTTCAGTACATAGAAATAAGCCACACTAATAAACCCAAATTTATTGTTGGCATAATTGGAATTATTTAGCAAATGTTATCCAATCACATAATTATACATAATGTTGGATGAATACAAATACACAGGGCTTTGGTCTTTGTAGACAAAAAGAACATGCACATATATTAAGTCTATTTCAAAGCAACAAAAAGGAGACAGCAATCCTCTGGCTTAATTCTCATGACCATGGTTTGGCCAATCAGAACCAGCATGCCCAATTTAAAATGTTTAAAAAAAGTTTAACAGGTAACCTTCAATCATCAAACTGGTACATTCTACATGACTGTTGCCATCCAATTAGCACTCACCTCTCAGAGCATAATGTTTTCCCTCCACATAGAGCAATTTGCAAGAAATACCAGATGAATGCAAGTCAAAAAGCTTTGACAAAATGTTTCTTTTCTCAGCAGTGCTCAAGTTGTGGGCCAAACCACATTTTTCAAACACAACTTTGTTTTCATAAAACCATGCTTGCTTTACCTTATGCTATGCTTTACAAGTGCATTCTTAAGACTTCTTTAATAATAGCCTCCTGTACTTGATGAGAACAATGTAGCTCCCGTTTTTTCTTACTCCTCTTTCTTGAAGGAGGGTATTACATTTGGTAACTTCTAATTTGCTGCAACCATTCCAGAATCTAGGAAATGTTCAGAGATCACATCCATTATCTCTGCAGCTTAATGTGTTTACTTACTGTCTTCTCTTTATAACTTTAAAGAGCAACCTTTTTCCAATGGTTTAAGGATCAACAAGCTGGAGTCACTGATTTAAAGTGATTTGCCAAAGGACCAGTAGCAACAGAAGTAAAAACTTTTTCTATAAACTGAATGAGTGGTTAGGATGGTGGAAATAGGCAGTGATAACTTTCAAAATGGAAATTCGATAAAAACTGAAGGAGAAAAAAAATGCAGAGAGGTGGGTGTAAGAATGGAGTTGATTTATCTGAGAAAGGAAGTATATGCAAGGCTATAAAGAAGGTGGGAGAGTGACATTCGGTGAACACCTCCTTTGAAGAGTCAAAATAGACATGACAGACTGACTGGCCTCCATGTAACCTGGAACTATGCCATGAGTCTGTAAGATTAACTAGTTAGCTATCTAAGGAGCCCGCACAGATTTCAAAGACTGGCTGTTATAGGATCCCTACAATGCAGAAGCATGCTATTCTGTCCACTGAGTTCATATCACCTCTCCAAAGAGTAGCCCACCAAGACTCACCCCTTAGCCTATCCAGGTTACCCTGCATTTCCCATGGCTAATCTACCTAACCTGCACATCTTTGGCCTATGGGAGGTAACTGGAGCACCCAGAGGAAGCCCACGCAGACACAGGTAGAACATGCAAACTCCACCGAGTCACCCAAAGCTGGAATCAAACTCAGGTCTCTGCCAAGTTAAATCTTTTAGGTCTTGTTTTATACTCTGTAAAGGAACCATTATAGTTTATGCTAAGCTGCAAACAGAATTTTGCATTCGGATGTATAACTTTCACTACATGAAGGATAGAGGTGAAGCAAAGTCAATAACTACTGCAATATTAAGGAGATCAGACAATTTACAACAGAACTGGCGTTCGCCTTACTAGAAAGGAGATGTTTGAAGGGTACACATTACTTCATTTAAATTAGTAAGGATATTGCAAATTCAAAGTTATTTTGTGGCATCCCATGCCAAACAAAGGAGAAACAAAAATGCTTTTAAAACTGGTGGCTTTAATATTTGAAACAGCTTATTAAACTTGATCTTCGAATCTACCTTTTAAGGTCAAATGGATCTGAAGAGAAACACTCCTTTGGTTATAATTGTTAAGACACCAGTAAGGCAGTCTGTATTTCAATAATGAATTCTATAGATGAGAGGGGGGTCACTAACGTGACAATAAGCTTTTCCTTGTAGCCTGTCCTTTACTGTGAAGGAAGTATTAGAATAGAAGATCCCACAGATATGGAACAGCATGGTTTTGGACTTGAGAGAATTAGATTCCTTAAGAATTTTATGCCAAGAAAGAAAAGCTAATTATTCTAAAGACAGCTTTAGAAAAATTGTGTTCTCAGAGAGGATAATCAAGAGTTCTGAGCTATGAAGGAAGACTAAGTGCAGCCAACACTGGGATGGAAGCTATTGATAGCCAAAAAAATTGATTGAAAGAGATTTCATTGTGATGTAGTACTCAGCTAGTATAACTTGAGGGAATGTGTAATTTGAAGAATCTTGAAATAGTTAAGAGTGGAAAGACCAAGCATGGGTGATTGTGGAGTAAAAGGGATTATTTGACAAGAAAATGGCCCATGAAATTATACCTCCAAATGTTCTACAAAGGAAAAACATCTTAGAACATCCTGCATCACACCTCCAGTATTTCAACTTCATACATTTTCACCAGCTTATTTTGGTTACAAAATGGAATAGTGGAATATTAGGTACATTCTAACACCATTGGATGCTGAAGAAGCATTCAGCCAAACAGAGCAAAATGCATAAACTTCTGTTTCAAACTAATCGCAGATCCTTTGGACTCCTCCTCCTGGAACTTTCAATTGAGCAAATAATTTTTCTTTTTAATTTCCTTTTTCTCCACCAGAAAAAGGATCAAAACAAATAACAGAAAAGCAAAAACAAAATGCTGGAGATCTGAAATAAAAGCAGAAAATACTGGAGACACTCAGCAACTATCAAGAGAAACAAAATCAGCATTGAGCTTGATATAACTCCTTCAGAACGAAATTACCTTTTTTGATCTTTCAGCTATCGTAGGTGCACGAGCTAACAACTTCTCTTCAAGGTATTCCTTGTTCTGCAAAGCAAGTTTAAAAATTCTGGTTAGTATAGAGGTTTTAAATTCAATTTGGCACTAATTGCTAGGGAAAAGAAACGACTTGCGTTCTCTCTCAGGCAACTGAACTGTGATACAACTCGGCTTGAAAAAAAAAGTTAACAATTTTGCTCCAATAATGTCACCCCTGTATCACATATGTACAACACATTTTTTTTGAACAGTTGACTGGTTTTAATGGAGAAGCAGCAAATCTATTTTATAATGAACAATTTGCTTTGAAGAAGACATCTTTCACCAGGTTTGAAGAAATCCACATCAAGATCAAGCCTGACTTGAAGTTCTTTCAAAGATTAAGTGAACATTGAGGACAAGAATGGTGTTTGGCTTATGAACTGACTATTGGGAGCAGAATCTGAATGGAAATTATGAAACCAGAACAGTGAAACTAATATTTTGTTAATGACAAGTTACATTTGGAGTAACCAGGAGGATTCAGGATTTCCACATACCTAAAACTAAGAAATGCACCGAATGTCATCAGGAAAACTTTAAGATGGGGAGAGTGTGTGAACAAACTAAAACATCACCTAAATGGGAGGAAGAGCCTTGGAATACATTAGCCAAAAAGTGATGCAAACCTATGGCAAGATAGAAAAAGAACAAAATGCACATGCACTCAGAATACAAGTCAATTTTTAAAATCAATCTCAACAGATTGACATCATTGCTAAACTAAGATTACACTATCAATCACCTGCTTGCCATGAGCAAATAGTGCTTTTCTTTTGAACCACACTGAATTGATAGGCTACTTTAGACAGATGTTCAGAATAAAGTAAGAATGGAGAGTTGGAGTTACAATCAAACATTCTGGTCATCTCTGGGTTAAAGATTACACTCAATTTTGCTTTCTCATACCAGGTATCACCAGGGAATTCTGCATTATGTGTCGACTTTTCAATCACATGGTTCCCAAAATTACATAATCATCTAACAAAATGGGCCAATGATGGCCTTGCATTAATTTAGGACCTCTTCATATTGCATCCATGTTTTGATTTTAAAGACAAGGATACATACATGTTTTAACACAATAGTTATTATGAGTTTACATAAAAGGAATTTGGGTCTGCAATGAAAAGATTTGGATTGGGGGAAGGGCCAAAGTAGAATGAAATCAAGCATTCCTGGGTAAATCTACAGCAGAACAGAGTGCGGGGATTTGGTGGGGGGTGTAGCAGGAAGGGAATAAGTGTGGGCGTGGTGCTCAACATGGATAAGTAGTACAGGAGAGGCTTTTAACAGGTATAAAAAGTGAAGACATCAACAGAAGCCCAAGTGCAGGGTAGAACTTAAAGCAATTAGAAGAGCAAAACAGGTATGGAAAAAAAAAACACTGGCAGCTAAGGAAACAGAGCATCCTGTTATTTTAGAAGTATATCAATGGAAAGAGGAGAACCAGGTAAAGATTAGGGCCCATTATGGTCCATGGAGGGCAACACGTGTTGGAAACCAGTGAACACTGGTAGGGTGTTAAACAAGCACCTCACATCGGTCTTCGTTTTGGAGGATGATGACATAGGTACAGAATTCAGGAAGAGGGATTGTCATTCTTGAGCAGTTTGATGTAAGGAATAAGTAGGTACTGGAGGCTCCAGCAGGCTTACAAGTGAACAAATCCCCAGTCCAGATGTGTTGTAGGAAATTAGAGGGGCTCTGACCCAAATTTCCAATTCCTGTCTGGCCACAAAGGAGCTGTCAGAGGATTGGAGGATAGCCAAATGGTTCCACATTTCAAGGGTGGTAGAGACCAATCAGCAAATTATAGACCAGCGAGTCTCACATCAGCATTAGGTAAACTATTGGAGAGAACCCCCGAGGGAGAGAACCCCCGAGGGAGAGAACCCCCGA